TACACAAATACCTAGATACTCTTATATTTTATGAAATTAACCCTCGCGCCAAATTTAGCGTTTCTGAATTTTTGATTCTCGTAGTTTTTCTCTTCCCGACTGTTTATCATTATTGGGTTATCAGCATTGTCACTTCATATTTTCGTATTGGTTTTGTTGAGTTAGTCACTGGCATTTTGCAATGAAATAGTCTGTCTAGCCTGGCCTGTGTGACGTCTTTATATGCGTCACAAGCACTTACTATTCTGCGAACAAAAGTTAGCATTTAAACCTGGAAAAGTTATGAACAATAATTTCAGGACTGGAACGTGCTACATTAATTAGATCAAGGCTTAAATGCCGCATTTATCTAATACCATATTATGCCTAATTGTTGGTCTACCTATAGCTTTGTATCCGAATGCCGAGTGCAACATTTCCGTTGCTCGATTAAGTGATTAACCTGCCAATAATACAGCAAACAAACTGAAATATGGGTTTCGGCTTTGTGAAGCAATAGTTTTCAGCAGGAACCAAAGTGGCAGGAGTCGCAGAAATGTGCCTGCTGAGTTTTACAATTTCACAATCTGATTTAAATAGAAATAAAGAAGTCAACACATTTTAAACATTAGAATGCATATATTATCTGCGTTGCAATATTGCACACACAGGCCTGAAACTGAAATTATAAAATCGAATATTAATGAATTGCAAAACAGCTGCTGGAGTGACTGCTGGTGGATAGCAAATTTCATTCTACAAGGCGGAATTTCGCTGCCATGACTGTGACTTTTATATAAACAAAGCAAGTTCGGGCAGTCAGAGAAGTGCGCAGTGAGCAGTGCGCAGTGCGCAATGGAAAATGCTTACAAATGTGTACAGACTACAGTTTTATTCGTTCATTCATCTACGTATGCCTAATTAGTACGAAAATCCATTACTCGTAAAACGCTGGCGCATATATTTCCATATATAGGCGACCCTGGTATGGGTGCAATGTGCTTAGTGCGCACACGGGGCACGTGACATAAAACAAATTTATGTATGCGAGTACGCAGTCGGTAAGCTCGGGTGCGAATGGTTAGAGATGCGTAGCACGCATTCGCAGATAGTGCATTGCACTATCCGGATCTCTCCCTTTGCTGGATTACTGGAGATGGAATGGAACAAAATAAAAATAAAAATTAATTAAATAAAAAAATTTTCCCTCTTACAATTTAAGCCAAATGTTTCTATAAATATTTTTTATGTATAACTACAAATATGAAGTACTAAAAGGAAAATGCAGTTCGGTTTAGTTTCCAGGAAGAAAAATGAAAATGTTTCAATGGAAGCTGTCTGTAGCTGGGGTGAGTTTAATTTTGAGGTAATATCATTGCAATACGTCTACTCTCTGTTTGTGGTACAAGGTACTAATTGCTTACAGTGAATTGTCATAAATATAATGTATTTTTAGAACGATGGTAAAAGTATTCATTTATTTTATTTCTTTTTAAGTCATAACTCAGATTCACCTTTCAATATATGTATATAATTTCAATAACAGAATAGAAACACGAATTAGGTTCACCATTATTCCTTCTGATAATAATAAGTTATAATAATGAATTTTTAAAAATTTAAAGAACTTTATAAATAGATACATATATTCTTTCTAATAACAATACTTCATAATTCACAATTTTTATAAATTAGAATAACTTTATAAATGGATACATATATAGATACATGTAAATATTTAATAAAGCACGTAATTTTTATTTATTAAAATTAAGAGGAACATCCTATGAATTTACTGAATATATGAATGATATATACATATAATATATGAGTTATACATTTTTGAGATTTGTTATTTATCAGTTTAGCAGAAAATGCTAAAACTTTTAACTTTAATATAGATTTATTCCCGTTATTAAATACTATTATAAAAGCTTCTTTATGTATCCCTGCGGAAAAAGGTTTAGAATGAACCCAAAGTAAAGCATGCCTATCGTTGAAGACTACTATGATCTAATAGTCATCACCTGATACTGTTTGCAGTATAAATGGTAAAAATTGAGTTGTACTTGTGGCAAACGACTGTCGGTGTATTTCTCGTACCGGAAATGTCGTGGCTCACAGCTATGGCTGTACTGCCCACTAAAGGTTGACTCTTTAAGGGCCATGTTATGCAGAGTGTCTCGGATACAGCAAAATTTGCTCTTTCGGGCTTTGCCGAAAATGCATGTTATGCAGAGTGTCACATCAGTATTGCCAATTTTGTATTTTTATTACTTCTTGGTACTTCTTGGTTGTGCCTAATTTTAAAAGGAAATTTAGATATGCTCACTTTTAATTTGCCACAAAAAATAACTAGCAAGAAGAAACTCATAGAGGCTGTAATACTGTTAATTTATTATTATATTATCTTATAATAATTGTTGACAGTACTTACGCCTTTCTTTAAAATCGGAAAGTGTAATAATTATATTATTAGCGATTTATAAAAAAAGGCTGTGTTGCTTACTGCCATTTTTTCTCCAAAACGGATTAGAATTGTAATAATTTGCTCCTAAAAGGTGAACAAATTCTAAAATTTTTTACTTATCAACACTATATTGCCTTAGTGCCGGGGCATAAATACGCCGGCTTTCATGCTGGAGTTTGAACGGCCATATTGTTTTTTCTCCCATTGCCAAATTTAAAATTTGCATTGAATAACAATTGTACTTATGCCGTGCCCGAGACAGTCTGCATAACATGGCCCTAAATAGGAGTATCAAGGTGGCTGGGGTTAAAACTAAAATTACGTGAGTGAAAGCACTGCATTTATGTACTTATATTCGATATGAAGTTGCATTTTCCAACCGGGTGCACTGACCCAAAGAACAGCAGAGGTGCTGAATATGAAGAAACTATATCCGTATAGTTTCTATTGTTACCGATGGAATAAATGTAAGGGGTAAAGCCTTCACAACAAATAAACGTGTTAAAAAGCTATGAATTTTGTCTTTATATAATTTTTTTATATAGACAAAAATTATAGATATTTATGTTATAGCGTATTAAGTGGGGATACATTTTATTAATAATTTAATAATCAAATTTAATTGTTGTTTTCAATGTAAAATTATTAAACTGAAAATAAGCAAAAGAAAGGAATTTCGATGTAAATTGGGTCACGATGTTGAGGCTTATATGGAGTTAAGATGTGAATTTTTGTAAGGATTAATAAAAAATATTACAAAAAAAAATAAATAAATAAATATAATTTAATAAAAAAACGTACGAAAATAGTATAAAAGTCGGATACTGACAATTGTGATATGACTGTCTGTAAAACATAGTCCTAAGCCAAAACTTATTCTTACCCTTACACATATGTAAATGAATTAGTATTTACGTATACATATATATTAGTGTATAATTTAGTATTTATTTAGGCACTCTAAACTAGAGTTGTTGTATGTTAACTCTCCAAGGTAGTCAAATCTCTAACCGGAGTTGTGAAGAGTGATTGACAAGACAACTATTATTTTAATTCCAAAAAAAGTGCCTTGAAGAATTTCCAACCTGTTATTTTAACTCTCGAAAACTATTGAACCGGATTCGGGAACAACATTAGTAGTCACAATAAACTGAAGGGTCTTGGATATAAATCCGCCTTTTACTGAAATGGACAAGGTGAACTTAATCTTACCTCTTTTTTTGTGCTAAATAGCAATAAAGAAAACCAAAAGAAAAATGATTTACTTAAAAATTTTTCTTATATTATATATATCACTTTTAAATCCTAACTTTAATGCACTTCACCTGGTCTTTGGTCTTATAATTCAAATATTTTCGTTACTTACAAATAGTAAAAACTCCCAACCATGGCAATGAACTAGAAAACATGAGCCATATGTGAAGGGCAATAACGTCGCTGTTATCAACTGACCTAACATTACAGATTTTTACTATCTACAATAGCGAGAAGATTGTAAAATAAAAGTAAAAGTATTGATAAGATACACACACCAACAGGTTTATCTGCTATCTATTTTTATTTATTGGACTTTGAGATATGTAACCAAAAATATGTACAATACTATTTTAAAAGTTAAATAACTTTTAAGTCACAAACAATTAAATTTTATTTACTTTGCATTTTTGTTGTTTTTGTTTTTACTTTCAGTTAACACCACTCATTCATTCATAACTTAAACGTTTATTTAATATATTATATCAGCACTTGTGCTATAATCACCTAATTAAACAATTTCCAGCCAAAACGTGCACGTTTCAATAAAAAATAAAACAAAAAAATTTAACTCAACAAGAATATTAAAAGCAAAACAAAATAACGACCAAAACAATGCTAAATAAATACGTACGTACTCTTATGCCTTAAGTGAAGTGAAGTGAAGTGATGTGAAGTAAAGTGACCATATATTTCTTGTAGCAGCGCAGAGCAACACAAATGAGCAGAGCGCGTAACTGCATAGGAAGAAGTCTTCATAAAGAAAGACAAGAAGGAAGATATGAAGGCAAGACAACCGTAAACCATAACAATACAAAATAATAAAAAATTGCCTTCTTTTGTTGAAAATTTCCACCCCAAAGAATACTAAAACGCATTTAGGCATATTATCCTGCACATTATTAAATGATACAGTACTGTTAACATAGCAAGCGTATGGTCACTCAGAGCGAGACGTATAAGAGTTTTTAAAAATGAAAATTGTGTGCTCGCCACATATTGTGTGGTTGCTCTCTGTTGTCATTCGTATTGCACTCAATTAGACCAAATTTTATTTTGTATATGTGTGCCGCGCAGAAAGAGCTGTGGAAAATTTTGCGAACGCTATGGGTAAGAAAGAGTAGCATATAAGTACAATGCAAGCGATGTATGCTACACATGGATGTATAAGACATCAATAGCTGAATACAATATTGTGGTACAGTTTTTATGTATACCAAATTATAAGTAGAAAATAAAGTATGATGAAAAAGAGGAAAGAGAAAAGTACAGTCCAATAATTAAAAAAATATATCTCAGTCTTCTTATGGCTTTTGAATTGTAAAGACGTGCTGGCGGATAGTTGACGAATTTGATATTTTAATTTTGTCCGAGCCAGAAATTAAAATAATTATTTATTATGGAAAAAACAAGAAACCAACACAGAACATAGTGAAATAAAGTTTGTGCTTAATATAAATATAAAAAAAGTGACATAAAAGCAAAAAGCTATTCAATCAATTAAATACAAATTGATACAAATTATTGTATTACAAAAAAAAAAAATTTTTTTTGCGCCATATTAAATTTTTAATACGGAAAAAAAATTTTACTCACTTTAAGAATTTAAAAGAAGAAAAAATTGTTTTTGTGCAAAAAAAAAATTACTATTTAATAATCGACAATATGACCGCACATAGTATGGAACCGCGTTGTCAGATTGTTCCCTTAATGGGTTTAGTGCGTAATAGTAGCCGTATGAGTCTGCCCATTGCTACGGCGGAATCTGAACCTTCACCGCCGCCACCCCCACCGCCGGAGGCTGTAAGTCGTGTAAGGCGTGTTCTCTTCGATAAACCTGAACCTGGTGATATTAGCAGTATGCTGCAGAAAGAGTACAACAAACAGATTTTGAATTTTCAACGAAAGTATAGTTTCGATGTGCCAAATCCAAATCCAAATTTATTGGAGGAAAATGAAAATCAAAGTTCGCAAGCGTCACAGCAGAGGGCAACAGCGCGTTTCCCTACGCTCATTGAACGTGAAATGCAAGAACACGAACGTCGCTTACAGAGTGAAAAGTGCAATTTGAATAGAACCGCTGGAGATGAGTCGGAACAAATATCACAACTATTGGAGCATAAGTGCAGTGATAGTATCAGGCACAATAAAAATCCATCGTACGCGCATCATAGGACAGTGAATGGAGCTGGAATAAAGAAAATACCTGCTGCTGCTGATGTGAATGGTCAAGCGAATAATGAGCGCGCCAAACCATATACACGACAAAAATCAATCACAGGTAATTTTAATAGAATAATTATTTTTTATTTTTAATATCTATTTTAGTATGTGAAACAATGCACAAAAAAAAGCTTTCTTGACTTGACTGCACTTGTTCGTTCGTTCTGTCACACGTTCTTATAAGAAGCAATCACCTGATTTCTGATTTTGCATGCTTTCATTTCTTACTGTTCGCCCTTCTTCCTTCTTAAAGTGTGTAATGTAAGCGTGTGGAGGGAGGGTTGTTTCTAAAGAAGCAAAAACACTTAAACTGTGTTTTAGTTATTGTTTCTGTTTTGCTCTGTTGTTTTCCAACTGGACTGACTGGAGTAGACGTGCAATTGCTTCATATTTTACTTCAATTTCTTCTACATATTCTCTTTCTTACTTAAATGGGAAAACAACCCTTACTGTTGTTGTATTATTGCATTGTACGGTAAATGCTAAATGCGTAGACTGAGGATGTTTTGCCGGTTCACACTGTAGGTAAAAGCAGTGTCGCTTGTGCATTTTGCTTGAGCTGCTACTGCCGCTGCTGCCGCTACCCTTAAGCAGCATTTATTGTTACCTTTTGTGATTACTTTTTGATTTTACAAAATGCGTAGTTCCATAAAGACAATTTTCTTTTATATATATTATTTGTTTTTTTCTTTTCTTTTTAATAATTCCACCGACTTATGTAAGTTACAGCAACAAAATTGTCTATTCACCTTGCAGTTTGTGCATCACAAAAACGCCTTGTTTCTGTTTCCTTAAAATTTTTTTTTATGCAATCAACAAACTAATCTTTCGCGCCAAAAAATCTCTTCAATTGACTATCCTACAAAAAAATGAAAAAAACCTGAAAATTGTGCGCCAATATTCTTAAGGGTTTTTATGTTCTTTTATTTTATATTTAGTTATTGTTTTTGTAATTGTATTTTATTTATTGGCGACGGCATTTTGTTGTTCTCAGATTGTTCCCGCGTAAAATGTACGCAGCTTTTTCGCTGCCAAAAAAAACTTATTTCGAAACAAAAAAGTTCTGCATGCTCTGCTCTGTCGCAAATTTGTTTGTTATTTTGGTTACATATTTTCATTTTTATCGACTTTTACGTAGTCGTCTTTCCATTTCTATATATATTTATATATATATATATTTTGATTTTGATTTTTGTTTTGATCTCTTCAAGTTTAGTTACTTTTATATAATAAAATGAAACAAACCTAACAAAAAATAAAAAAAAAAAAACAGAACAAAACAGAAAGTAACATAAAATATAACAAAGATAGCTCCAAAATTCGCAAAAGCTTATTGCCTTTGATTTGACGTCGTGCTGCAGTTATGTTTGTTGTTGCTCCCCTTCTTTACTTTACGTGGTTTGTTTTATTTGCTTTGATTTTGTATTACATATTTTCCATTTTCGTTTTTTTTCTTCTTCTATATTATTTTGCATTTGGAATTTTGTTAGTTGTTTGTCGAAAAAGCAGCAAATTAATTGGTGTTTTTTCTTGGTACTCTTTGTCGCCACTTTGTCTTTTATTCTGGCAAACTTTCAAAAAAAACCAACACAAAAATACCCAAAATAATAATATGTATAAATATAAACATTTAAAACAAATTTGTTTTAGTGCAACAAAACCGCGCCAAATTCTTTTAAAAGAACGATTCCATCCATAAGTATTGAAATTGCATTTGTATTGAATTTGTATTGCATCTCCACGCACGGAACTTGTTTGTGCCTTGCATACGCACAACGAATATTTATTATGAACAACAACAAACAACCTAAGGAATTTTTAAGGGATTTTTCCAATATTAGTTGGAGATAACTTTCTCACGAAATTACAAGTAAAAACATTAAAGAAATAAGTAGGTTAGTAGTTAATAACAAAAAAAAGAAATTTCTTGTAAAAAAAAAATTATTAAAAATTATATTTTAATGGAGACCTATTAAAAATAGTATATATATATTTTTTTAATTTTAAAGAAGAAAAATTATCCCCAATCTAGTTATCACGTCCATCCTCGATATGGTTAGGCAAAACTCTACACAAAAAACAATAAGTTCTACTAAGCAATCTAAAATCCGATGTCTATTTTATCGACAAGTAGATTAGATCCTGTCTCTTCTTTTTTGGATAACATGAGTACTTGTTCCATTTCTATAATTATGTTTTTTTTATATTTATTTTAAAAATCCAAATATTTTAATTTTTTTTAAATAATATTATTAAATATAATTTACTTAAAAAAAGAACTATTTGATTTTATATTAACAATAAAACATAAAATTGAATTCACATTTCATTAACATTTATTTGTGACATCCGACAAGTATAAGAACCAACTCTTTTTAAAAAAGAATTAATTCGATTAATTAAGATTAAGAAATTTGAACTAGATACCAGATCATGAAGAGCTACATCATAGATCCTGTCACCTCTTTTTTAGATAACAACGCGGTATATTAGACTTGTTCCATTTCATTTCCATTTCTTTTACATTTATTTATCCAAATATTTTAATTTTTTTTTTTATAAAATCAAAATTCATATATCTGAAGTCACTTTTCTTTAAATATTTACAACGAAATATTTGTATCAATTGATATGTACTATATGTATAATAAAACTGGAAAAATATAATTTTACGTAAGCTGTTTATATTTTGTATTACAAATGTAAACTTATAAAAATAAGAATACAATATAAATTATTTAAAAAAAAGTATATCGTTTTAAATAAAAACTAAAATATTAAAATGAATTCATATATTTTAACACTTACTTGTTAAATAGTGCATAATTTTCAATTTTAATTTTTAGTTATTTTCATTTAGTTATATATATATTTGTAATTTAAATTATTTTGCATATGTAAAATTTGTATTTAATTGATTTTTTTATTTCGTTTTTTTACAAATATTTTTATATATGTAACTTATATAAAATAAGTTTGTATACTTTTTTAATTTAACGTTTTCTGCATACATATAAACTATATATTTATATACATTAATTCAGTTCTATATATATATTTTATATAGGTTCTATTTATATTTTTAACTAATTTTTTTATGTAGTAGTTTGTTTATACATACACAGTTTATTTAGTTAATTATTTTAAAAATGTATTTCTTTAACTTGTTACAAAAACTCATTAAAATGCACACAACTATTTAATAACATCAATATTATTAAATATCTATTATATGCTTTTATCGTTTTTATTCACAAAAATACAAGTATAAATCTTGAATATTTTTACTTAAAAAACAAATACTATTTCTGATGATACAAAAACAAAAGCGAATCAAAAATTTTTAGCGGGAAAATTTTTCTTTGAGCGAAATTTGCTTCTCATCATTCATAGTTAATTTTTTATAAAAAAATTTATTATATATGTATATGTAAAACTATATATATTTTTCAATTCAAATTTAAGTACAAATTCTAATTACCCAAAATTTTTTACAACTGCTACGCGCATTAACCGGTGTTGCCACCGACTGCCGGCGCACAGGTCCAACGTCAATAATTTCGGCACGGTTTGAGTGCATTTCGAAAAGTACATTTTGCGCTTCTATAAATTTTTGTGCAGTCATACGTTGTAATAAAATTTTGTTTTATATTTTTGGCAACAGATCAAAATATTTTTACGGTAATAAGCTCTATTTACGTTGCCACAAAGGCAGAGAAATATGAAATACGCTTCAAATCGAAATGTTTTGAAACATCGACAAAGCCGAAAATATTTTTGTGATGGCATAGTTTTGAAACTTTGAGTAATAAATTTTGAATTTTTATTGATACTGTACTGTTTAATTTGTGCCATATTCTATTTGTTTGAAATTTTTACAAACCCGCTCTCAAACTTTTAAAACACTTAAAATTAAGCACTCATGAATTTGTTCATAGAAACTTTTTTCTCGTCGCTTTCATTTAAAAATAATAAAAACATCTTACGTCAGCGAATCTATTTGCTGCTGTCGCCTTTGTTTTTTTTCCAGTTACTCTTAATTATTTTTTCCCATTATGTGCGACATTAACATTTGAAGTTGATTTGCACATAATTCTACTCAAAGATAATGAAACCATTGAAAATATATGCCTATATAATAATATTCATTCGAAAACAAAAGTTTATTAGAACAAACATCACTTTGGATACATTTTTTTTTTGTTTTTGCTTCAATTCGAACTTAGAACGTTTAATCAAAATAAAGAGGAGCGAGCGCAAGAGTGCGTATTATTTCCGTGCTTTGATATTGAATACTAAATAACAAAAATGGGGTTGCCAGATAGGGTTTCAGTTATTAATAAATGAAGTGTAATTTTATATCAACAGCAAAGTTGGATCGGTGATAGTCATGTTATATTATAATATGAATAGAATTTTTGTTTTAAATATTTTTTGTTTTTTCTGAGAGCGTGAAAATGTAGTTGTGTCAAATTTAATTATCTCATCATATAATTATTCTTCCTTAGTTTAACTTCTACTATATGATTAATAATTATTTTTATTAAGTAAACAATTATAAAGAGGTTTTTGAGAAGTAGTGAACTACAACAACAAAAATTCTTTTTTATATTTTAATTAATTGAATTTTTGGCTGACCATACAGCAGTTTCGATTATTGTCAAATATGCATTTAATCCATAGATATTTTTAAGGAGCATTGGTTTAGCGGTAACCGAAACAGCTCTATAATTAGCTCGAAAATTTATTTAATTAACAAATATATTTTTTAATAAAATTTTGATTTTCATTTTAAATGCAACTAAAAAATATTGGATAAAAGTAATCTCAAAAAAAATCAAAAAAAACCGATCTTATTTAATAAATTAAAATAAGTACTTATGGAACTCTTCTTCTAATAACTTTAATAAATTTGCAAGCATTTAGTTAGTTTTATTGGGCCATATAACTTTTTTTTAATACCTTGGAAACTTCTGTCTTTGGTTTTTGGTATTTAAATTTAGTAGCAATAAGAGTTAGCAGACTGTGGGGTTTATGCCAAATATTCAGAAAGAAATTTTAATTATAAAAATTATTAAATAAATTGTACTCAAAAAAGTGTATTATAGTTATTGCAACTCTTTAAATTTTCATATTGAATATGAATGTGTTTAAAAATTGTTATGTAATTGCTTTGAATGACAAATGAATATGTGTATTTCTCTTGTTTATTATTATATGTAGAGATTTCATAGTTGAATCTTAAAAAAGAAATTTTTTTATAGAATCACACAATTTTAATAAAATAGTTTGTTCTAACATTTTATCAATGAATATTATTTCATATAAATATAATTTTTGATAAATATGTTTACAAATTTAAAAAAAAACCAAAAACAAAAAACATCACATTTTTAAAATATGTGATGTGAAATAATATGTAAAATTCTTGATCTCTGTTAATTTTATGACTTTTAGTAAGTCAATAATATATTAGTAAAAAACAAATAGTTTTTATTTTATAATTATTTGTTGTTATTCACTTCAAAAGATCTCAGCCTCATATAAAATTTAAATTAACTTTTTATTTTTTAATAAATATTAAACGCAACGGAATACAAACTTTTTCAATTAATAAGTTTTACTGTATAAACATTTTACAAGCAAGCTTTGCAAATAACTTTCCTGTAAAGAATATATTTGCTCTAATTACCGATGCCAAACGTGCTATTTTAATTGTACTCATATTTATTTAAATATATTCATACATTTAAATTATGAAAATTGATAATTAAGTTTGCAACATTTCCAGAGAATGATTTACAATAAATAAATAGAACAGAACGTGCTATTCTTTCAATATACCTCTAGTATCATATTATACATAACATAAGTATAAATTAGTACAATATGATGAAATCATTAGTACAATATGATTAAGTCATTTATAAAAATATTTAAATAGATATTAATAAATTCCAAGATTCTAATTACTTTTATACATATAAAATAAAAAAATAGTTGTTTTATCTTAATTATCTTCTTAACTGCATTGTAAAACTTGCTTTGAGTTTGTGTAATTATCCTTCAAAAAATTACAATAAAGTACGAATCAAACGATAATTAATCAAAAAAACTAAAAAATTTTTTGAATATTTTATTAAATTAAATTTAACAAAATAATTTTGTATCAATATTTCTTTTTATAAATTAGAATCTTAGAAGATACATGCTTTCGTAATTGAGAATTTGTTGTTGAAATTTGAAATGTCTTATTTCGCAAATGTCTTTAATTATTATTACTATTATATTTAAATCTGTTTAAATTTAAAATTGTATTATTTGACAAACGCCTCGAATTAATACTAATAATAATTATTTTATGTTTAAAATGCAAAAATTATTTTCCTTATATATTGAGTATAAAAATTGTTAATTATAAAATTAATATTTTGTAAACACCATTTTTCAATTATACTGGCAACTCTGTTGTTTTGTGCTTTGGCAAATAAACCAACACCAATCAAACGTACGATACGATAGGGAGCTCCACTACCGCTAACGCCGCACCCACAATTTTTTTACCGTATTAAATTTTGTATGCTTCATCACATGCCGTACAATATTTCCTCTTGCCCTGCCTTTGTTCTTTGGAGTACTATTAGTACGTATGTGTAACTATTACGCAAAAAAATTTTGGTTTTCTTTTTTGGTGTCTCTATTAAAACCGCTGTTTTTTAATTTTATATTAAACAATTTCTAATATTTTAAATCGCAACAAAAATATTAACTTTTTTTAGCTCTTAAATAGAGACAATGGATTTTAATTTTTTAAAAACAAAACATTGAGCATAAAATGTTATTTAAAACCACAGAGAAAAAGGTCAAGAGAATAAGATTTCTAGCATACCCTGCTTTGCCTCCTATTTTATTTATATATACATATGAATGCAAACATATATACACGTATTTATATTTATTTAATCTTATGTTTTTTATTTCCACATTTGTTATTTTTAATTTGTTGTTGGCCTCCTTCTTAATTATGCCCCACACTTCTGTTTGTTTGCATGCGTGCTGGTTTTTTGTGTTGTTTTTTTCTTTCAATATTGTTATGGAACGGTGCAGCGGTGGAGGTGGGTAAGAGACAGATTAGCGTTTTATTTAGTATATTTATGAGTGTAGTTGTAGTTGTTGTCTTACTTGTTTTCCTGTTATTGAGCATTTTTATGCAACGACACAATACAGGTAAAACTTAAATAGTTTGTGGGTGGGGTAAGGAATAAACTCGCATACTTATGCTCATTTTTATTTTTTTAAAGGCTGCAAGAGAAATTTATTTAGAAGAATTTTTGGCGGGAAAAATATTAAGCTTTACGAGTAAAGTGCGTAAATGGCAAACAAAAGCTGTACTGTACCAAATTTGTCTGTCTGCTGCTTGGTGTGTTTGTGAAGCATTTATTTTATTTATTCTCTTTTGAAGGTCGAGCGATCTGTATTGTAGCGATTACAGTTTACTAAGTTTCCAATATGCGTAAGAATGGAAGCTATAGATTTTATTTATTTAATTTATGTTTATAGTTTAATTTTTTTGAAAGATTGCTTTCAAATAACTTAATTTTTAATTAAGTTTTGCTTCATTAAAAAATAATAATAACCAACGTAATAAATTGCCTTCAAATAGTAAATTAAAATGCTAACCACATTAAGTATATTTTCGTATTATTATTTTTTAATTTTGTTTTTATATTATTCTATTTTGAACAAAAATAGTAATAACAAATACAGTTCGTTATAACAAAACAAAAATTTCGAAAAAATAATAATAAAAAGAAAGTAAGAAAGAAAGCGTCTATTTTCTTTAAAGCGATACGTTGACTGACTTATTATTGCCTTTTTTGTTTTGTATTTTTTGCTTTATAACTGTTTTCTTTATTATTATTACTACTTTTGAAGTTGTGGTTTGATGGTTTAACACAAATACATGTGTACAGTGTCAGTCAGGCGATTTGATGAAGCATTTGTTTACTACACGTTAAAAGCGGTCAAACCCAAATCCAAGCACAAAGTCAGAAAGTCACTGTATGTTATATGTCCCCATTAAAATTATTTCTTAAGTATTTTTGTTTTTTTTCTTCTTTTTTTTTTAATTTATTTACAACGGCGTATTACCATCTTTTATTTTTCTTTTTATTTTCTGTTTTGATTAACACTACATTGGTACGACACAGTACGCTATGTTCTTATATAAAATAGCAACAAAATCGACCCCCTGTCTGCTGTAGCCAGTAATCTGATAAGATTAGACTTCATTTTTTTTTTTATAAATTTGTTTTTGTAATTATTGCATATTATTGCGTTGTTTTTTTTTTATTTTTATTTTTTGCTACAAGTAGCACGATGATAATGATTATTGCATTTTGACAAACCAATGTTGTGTACTGCATTATTACTAATTTCGACATCGTCTAATGAGTGACGTGCGCTTATATTAATATAATTATATGTGTTCCTAACACATACATACTTACGTACTTGAAAAAAGATTATATTTTTGCTGTGATTCTCCATAAAACTAACTCTTTTGGACACTATTTGATGATAGTCTATAAATCAATAAATGCATATAGAGATAATATGTTGTATACAAAATTAGAACAGCTGGGCCAAGGTCTCCAAATTGTGATCCATCATTGCTCTCATGCATAAGTTTATATGTATGTGTTCGTTTATATATCAAATGATTGTTTTTTTTTTTATACTCATTTTGCTGTTTTTGAGGTTATTTTTTTTTGTTTGGTTATTTTTTTTTGATTCGTGTATGTGAAGAATATTAAAAATTCTATATCAAACTGAAAATTTACTGATAAGCTGCAAATACAATTTAAGGAATTTAAACCATTTTTAATTCTTGAATATTTTTGTTAAAATTTTCTATTCTTAGCTCACGTTTTAAGATTTTTGAATTAATTTTTTTCTCGTCTAAATATGATTAGTACTTCTTTTGGAATTATGTGTACTCGTATATATATTTTCTGAAGACTATTGATATATACATAAACATATATAAAAAAATATATGGTTGATGCTCTTAGAAATTAAAAAATAATAGAGCTTTTAAAAATAGCACGAAGCATTATGATGCTAGCATTATGATGCTCGAGCAGTTTAAATACATGGGAGTTGCTCGAATTTACACAATGTGTTTGAACCTATGAATGTACACGAGTTACACGAAGTTGCTCGAATTACCGAACAGCAAATCTGCTTTTGCTTTATTTGTCATTTTATTTCTGTTGTCTTTTTTAGAAAAATATGCGTACATACATATGTACATAACGGCAATGCAGGAGCATATAATGTTGTACGAACATTTTTAATCGCATTGCTGTTCTTGAGTCAAATGCTTGCAGCACAACTATACTTGAAATACTAAAAGCTTCGAATAGTTCTAATATTTTGAGCTACAGTCGCCAATAAATTTTTTATGCTCTTACAACAACATAACGCATATGCAGAGAAAGCTTTCATTTTTTCTGTTTTTTTTTTTTTTTGGTGTTTTTAGCTTTACTCAAGAGAATTCCTATCCTGTCGGTTTCCATTTATAAGGACTTCTACTATGTTTTGTTTTATTAAAAAATTCTTGTATGTTAAAAAATCTTAAGAAATCTTAAAAGATTCTTATTAGAAAATTATGCTAAATAGAAATTTTTTTAAGCATGCAATGCAACTTTTAATTTTAAAATTATAAATTTTTTACCATAAACTCAAAACTGCACATATACATACATATTACCTATACAATATTTTTATTTATTTTTACTAAAATTTTTTATTTTTTTCTTATTGCAGAGTATTTTAACACACGCAAAACAGCGAACAACTGCAAATTGTCACATCTTCCGATTGAAGTATTAGAATTAGCAGAACCTCTGCAAACGGTGGTCTCTTCGTGTCAGCAACCTTTGACTGGAATATCGTCTACGACAAAAACTGATGAAGCAACAACAACAACAACAACAATAATAAACACAACTACTGCTACATCAACAGCGTCCTCTCCACCACCACCCCCCTTATTGTTGTCGGTGTCAATATCGACATCGCCGTTGCCATCAACTGATATTTAGAAACTAAATAAAATACAGAAACAAAAAACAACAACAAAAACCATATTTATTGGCGTTATAAATTGGCTACAAGCAGAAAAATGTACAACAAAGCTGCATCCAAATTACCCACTAAGCTGAAAAAAAAAAATCCATAAGCAATGTTACAACACACCACGACGCCACTAAAAAAATTATGTGCATATAATACTTTATAGTTCATAGACATACAGAAACAAAACGTAAAGAAAAAACAAAATTAAGGAAAAAACAAAAACAAAAACAAATTTTAACAAATAGTAAACGTGGGAAGGAAGCAATTCAAGAAATTCAAAGAATATTTCTAATTATTTCAAATTTACATTTGAAATTGACTTTCAAATGATCTCATTGTTACGAAAACATATATTAATGAAATAATTGATAAATTATTGTAATTTTTAATTGCTTTTTAATATATATCTATTATTATATATATTTATATATAGTACATTTAAAATATTTTTGTAATTGTAAGTTGCGTTGATATAGTATTTAGAGATTGCGAAAATTATCAAAATTAAAAATTTGAAAATGCTTTTCGGGACACTTCTCCTAAATTTTTTTCATATGATTATGTTTAGATGCCTACTTCATATTTCTTAACTATTTATTTTTTTTTTATTTGTATGTGTACATTTTAAATCGATTTTAATTTTTTTTTTTTATTGAAAGTACAAAAACTCATTTTGTATCTTTGCAAATTATGAATTAACATATACTGATTTATATTTACTGATTTATATATACTAACAACAAATAAAACAAAATCTATTCAAATGCAGTGTATAAAAACAAACATAAACATAAAATGAAAAAATTTTGTCGAAATTGTAAATTAATTTTTAAATAATGAAAAAAGAAAAATATTAAATAAATCAAAAAAAAATTGTTTTAATAAATTTTTTTTAAAATTTTAAATTTGTTGTTTTTAATTTACACATCATCATTCATTATCATTTTCCCTCCCACAGGAACATCACAGCACATCACTGATTTGCTTCGTACATATAATTTCCATACAAATTCGTCTTACGTAGAAGAGGTAAAAGCACTAATGCATTATTTATGTTCTCAAATACAGACCTACAGACATTCATACTTAAATATCTACTCTAATGTGTTCATTTCCGGTCACATTAAGTAGTAAAGTAGTAATTTAATACCAAAACGAAATAGGGAAATCTCTATTAGAATCAACTTAACAGTTAGAATTGAACCATTGAACTTTCGTGAATACTTCTCCAGTCGTTACAAGACAATAATAGTTTTGAAAAAAAAACTTACATTATCTCTGATGCGTTTAAGTTTAATGAGTAGCAATTCTATTTTTGATGTAATTCCAGTTTCGTATGAAATTTTCTAATTGAGTTCATAAGTGCACTGATGAAGACGTACGAACGATAAAATCGTTTTCAATTGTAAATGAACTTTTTCACTGAAAATAATAATGAGTAAAATATTATACTAGTACCTAATGAAGCTATCTCAATGGGATACAGAAGATCTTATTTCATTCCATAATCACATTTCATGCAATGTAAATTGGTTTCGGTGCTATAATTTCATACTCATCCAAAGGAGGATACAAAATAGTAAAAGTTAAGGGAGAAGTAGTAGTTTCATTGAGCTGATATCAATCGCCACTTTACTTTCTTTTGTGGGTGGACTTTATCCTAGACATTAATTTTACTTAGCAGAAGGTCTAATCAAATTTTATTTCAGTATTACTAAAATTGAATCAAATTAACTTGTACCAAACAGCTCTCAGAATCGTTGACAGGTTGTCAATGTCAGCAAACGCGGCACCTACTTCGAAAAGAGCTTTCTCATAGACAGAACTTCAAGCGAAATAAAACCGATCCTGCAATTTGACTATACAATTTTCCAAAACGATTTTGAGGACTTCTTTCCTTTACGATGTCAACAACTTTTTTCATCAATCGGTGCATTCAGACATCATTGATGTTTGGAAGACCGCGCTTAAAGTCAAAGTACGTGTCGACTATTTGTCTCGAAGAAGCAGAGTTTTGGTGATATTTACCAATCCAACGTTTTGCTTTTGGACAGTTTAACAAGACGATAAAAAATTAAGACACGAAATTGCTTTGACTTTATTGTTCTGATAATATAAAAAGTAACGTTATTATAACAATTCTAAGTAAATGAATAATTGTTCAAATCTCATAAAATTTTATTATTTGGAAATTTATATGCATATGCTGTCAGCATTATCCTACAGGCTTATCAGTAGAAGCGTTACATATTATATTGGGTACCACTGCTATAGCTTTTATGGTGTTACTAATTGGTTTTCTCTAGAGAAAGAGTTACCTCTTTAAAAGATTTCAATTTGAGAATTTGAAAGTACTAAATAAGCTTTTAAGGTTTATTATTGAAACCAGGAGGTTTATCGGCGGTATTTAAAGAGGTGATATAATTTACTAATACTTTTTATATTGGCGTCTATTGTATCAGTTATAATAAAAATAATTAATTACTCTTAATTATTAAGCAAGACATAGTTGATAGATAAATAAAACATCCAGAAGTAATTGATTTTCCGTTTTATACAAAGATATATAAGAAACAGCAGAATGTTTAGTCGATATTATAACTATATATACATCGTATACCTGGACATTAAAATTTGCTTCTATACTAATTTGGGCTATATTTTTATCGAAAATCAACGGGATAATTAAAAATGAAAGTTCAATTTGCATACATAGAAAATCGAACCCATTCAATCATTAAGAATCATTTTTTTTTTATGAAAATTTTACTCGTTCACTTTCTGAGTATTGAATATGGTTGATATCACTTTCGGAATATGACTCTTCCAGCTATATACTTTATTACCTGAATTAATAAGACATTTTTAATATTTTTTAAAATATCATCCCTAAATAAACATTAAATCCAATATTAAAATAAAAATATTTGGAGTGTTTTCTTATATCAAAACGACTTCTTTAACTTGTTAAATCAGTAATAACATATAGAAAGTTGTGGAGTTTTTATGAATACGTGAAGTGGTAACTTTTCTTCGGTTGTTATCTTTGTGAATATAATATTATTATTGCAAGGAGATGAAAATCTATTTTGTGTTTTTTTTATTCAGATACTTATATATAACAATTGTCTTCGTTAATTATGTTACAGAAAAACCTAATCCTCAAATGGGTCTTAAAGCGCCCTTGAAAAACTTTCAATATGTAGGTCACTGATAACATGTAAGTATTTTTTACGGACTTATCCGTAAAATAAATATTTATCGTTTATCAAAAAGAAAATAAATCATTCTATCCTCAATTTTATTACACAACTGCATCTCATAATCAGAAATGAAATATCAAAGTAGGATAAGTATTATTAAGAATAAATTTTTATTATAAGTGGGGGAACAAGAAGAAAGCTTTCTTCATAATACAGAGAAATCTACATACATAGAAAATGCAATATTAATATAAATTATATAAACTGGTACTTGAAGTATATGCTTCCCAGATGTAGGTCTTTTCTGTCTTTGTTGATGTAGGTCTAAAAATTAGAGGTTTAAACAATGAAGAAAAACAAAAAAGACCACAGCTTGAAGATGTAGAAATGCAGAAAGTGTACTTTAAGCAATAAAGAAAATGAAGATATAAGAGTATACGTTTAAGCTACATCTTATTTATTGTGTTTTTAAGAAATAAGTGTAAGTAATAAGTACATCATAGCATACATTTATCCTTAACCAAACTTCATTATGAAGCCAAAAAGAATAAATAGGAAAATTTCATATCGTAGAGAGTCATCCAAAGTATCTTATGGCTCTTGCAAATTTCATTTTTTTATTGCGCTTTTACTTTTTCCTTTTAATGAAACGAGACTTGTGGACAATAAATTCTATATTTATTACTTCTCTGATTTATGTCGGCAGTAAATTTGCAATGCACCCAGCGATGTGCACATTTTTCGCCATTATTGCACATTCGACTGCCGTTGAGTATCTTTAAGTATGGAAGTAAGAAAAATAATTTTTTAATTTAATTTTTTATTATAGCATTTCTGTTTTTCAATCAAAACTGAAATTAAGAAAAGGAAAAATAAATAAAAATGAGATATTTTAATTGCGTAATTTTTCATTAAACAACATTAATGTCATCACAATTGCGCATTTGTTTAATATGGATTATGCCTACTCCTAAGTTCAGCAAGAAGGGTGCTATATCGCATAACATAGACTTTGTAATTGCGCTTATCGTATGAAGAACGTTCTCTTTTTTTAATGTGACTGTAATATTGGAAGTATTCTCAAATTTTTTTAAAAATAAAAATATATTGTGTATATACATATGTATCAGTGACTATTTTAATTTTTTAGATTTCAATTCTTTATTCTTTTTCCATCCCTTCATGGTTTTATTGAAAATTCAATTAAATTGTACTAGGACGATTACGTTTGTTTTATCAATTTTTACCTTTTTTTAAGTCATTAAACATTATTTGTAACAATTTTATGTCTTCAGGTCGTACATTGTGGCTTTAATATAAAAATAAACACAATCAGATAAAGATACAAATCAGAAGAAAAGCGAAGAATACGATACGTGAGGTCAAACTGAAGTGCAAAAAATGACTAATTCACTTAACAACTGCAGCTCAGTGCTGTATTTATTGTTAAGAGATTGATTTTGGGCCTTAAATGTATTGTTTAAATTTTTAATTAAAATTAAATTTTCAAATTAATTCAAAGAATAAAAGTCTATATACATATATTACATGTATATTATATATTGCACATATGTATGTATATAACTTATACTCAGATATATCCAGTACTTCAGTATCTAATATTTAAATATTTAAGATTGTTTTATTCAATCACCGTTTTAAAGATGATTGCCTTCTATTCACACACAAAGTCTTCGATAATGATACGTTACAGAAATATTTTAAGGATAGGTGAGATTAGACATATAGCAGGAGCATAATAACATTTTTGTTATGTATAATATAAAGTACTAATGA